CCCCAAGGGACCGCTCTACACCTGCACCTCGATGTCGGCTTTAACCACCAATGGGGAGCGGGACCCGAGCCGGAACCAGGTGTGAAAGGAGGCGGAGGAGGTGGGCTAGAGAGGCGGGACGGAGGAGGAAGAGTCGTGGTCCTCGCGTTTCCAGAAACTACCCTGGGTCCTGGTCACTGCAGACTCTTTGGCTACCCCTAAAAGTTCACGTGGTGCAGCCGGACGGGATTTACCCTCAGGGGAGGTGGGGCACCGAGAATAAGGGAGGGGAAAGGCGCAAGCCCTGGGTGTTTGGAGAACCCCTGAGACCTCCGAACCCACCCTGTGGTTTCCCTTACAACCCAACTTCTGGGCTGGAAGTGTAGCTCAGGGCTGAAGCGCTTGAAGGCCTTGGACTTGATTCCAGCACTGCAAAAACAAAACCTAACCCCTGCTTTGGGAGCATGCTTAGAATGTCTTGTTTCCCCCTTTAAGAAAATTTAAAGATACAGCCTGCTTCTTTAGTTAACTGTGACAGGGGAATAGAGGAGGAAGGTAACTTGTAGAGGATGGTTTCCATACCCCCTGGTGCCTTCTAACGGATTTTCTTACAGAATGAATAACCTAAAACTCGTGACTCCGGCAAAGTTAAGCCAGCCCACTTCACTGGGTCCCAGACTCACACCGAGCCCCAGAGTTCAGCTGAATGATATCCCACAGAGGAGGAAGCCTCATCCAGCAGGTGGAAGGGCGCCGTCCTGATATCCTGGGTCCCTCCTCTAGTAGCCAGGGAAGCCCTTTCCTTTAGGTTGCAAGTTCCGTTCACCCTACTAAAATTCATAATATTCGCAGTGACCTCCTTTTCTTGTCCCACAAATACAACCTGTTGATGATGTTTCCAAATGGGTTTTTATTAAGCAAATGCACAAAACTACCACCTGGAGACAAATAAAACTTGAAAGGATTTGTGCTTTCTGGAATCCCAATTCAGGTATTGTCCTCCCCACACCGAGTTAACCTCTGCTATACCTAAGAGAGGCATGAAAGCTATGTGCATGTCTTAGAATCCTAAGGTACGTTTACAAGGACTTATTTTTAGGCCTCAAGTTTAGGGGAGGAGAGAAAAATTCATGAGAAGTTGATGTGGGTATTGGACAACTTAGGTGTTGACCAGGAGCATGGAAAAAGGAAGGTGAGTTAAAACCTCTCTAAATTTTACCAGGAAGTTCAGCCTAGAAATATTATGATTATGTAAGAGCGATTTTCAAGATTGCTTTTAAGAAGCTCACTTCAGGGTTCAGTAGTTATTCCAAAATGTTTCAACTCTTTTTTTCAGCAGTTTTTAAGACAATTCTTAGTGGAGGGGGTAGCGGATACAAGCATTCAGGATGTGTAGGATAAATGTTTCCACTGGCTGGTATTTTAATTCAAAGAACATCATGGGTGTTCTGCCTTCTGTCCTGTCTTGTAAAGCTGTCACACAGAGAAGGTTAATTAACTGGGGCAGACCAGGATGGGCCAGTTCTTAAGATTCGTTGGAGGCCAGGCAGGCAGCAACAGTTTGAGTCAGGGGAAGGACAAGCTAGAACATGTCGCAACAGATTCTTCAGGGAGAAAGTTCCATAACAAGGCAGCTGAGACCAGGCTACGCTCAGAGCTGCGAGCTGGCAAGTGTCGTGCTCAGAAAAGCTGCCATCACCCTCAAGGCTGAGGTGTATAGGAGAAACAGAATCACGGCAGCTTCTCAGCTCTGGAAGTACCGAGTTATGAGAAGGGGTTCCTAGCACTGGAGACCAAGATAAAGCTCCAAATAGTCATGGATTCCTACAACCAATATTGTCGGAGTATAGACCAGCACCTGACTGGGAAGGACAAGACAGAGAAGAAAACACCCACGTTTCTGCACTCACAGAACTTACCTTCTAAAGGAAGAAGCAGACAGTACGTGGCATAGTATGTATGTAAAATAAACTGCGTTGGAGAGTGCAGAAGGTAAAGGGCAAAATAAAGAAGGGAGGGGGTAATGAAGGCTGGATGGGATATTTTAGGGTGCGGACAGAAAAGGCCTGATGAGAAGGTACCTTTGGAGCTCAGACCCAAAGGAAAGGAGGTAGCACAGACTGCAAGAAATAAGGAGAAGACCATTCCTGTTATCAGAGAGGGTACCAGCAGAGGTCTGCATTTGGCTACAGGCAGAGTTCAAGATACTGGAACTGGGTCACAAGGTTAGCCAGACCCATAACATTGATGGATGCTGAATCACCTGAAGTTGCTACAAAGCTGCTCACATTGGAGCAGAGATGAATTCTTACTCATCTTTGTACGCACAGCATGGAGCACAGGCGCCCAATAAATGTTTATTGAGCTGAGCTCTTAAATCTCAGAGAACCTAGGATGGGGCTGAGAAATGTGTGATCCCATAATATCCACAGCAATCCTTCTATCAGGGATGACATTTTCACAGAAGAATGTGGTGATCCCTTCTACAGCTTTTGTGACTGTCTTCCTGGTCTTTGAGGGCATGGATCATCTTTCAACCTGTGTCTTCAGTATTTAGCACACTAAGAATAAGGAGAAGGGTGGGAGGCAAGAAAGAAAAAAGGGAGAGGAAGAAACAAGCAAACCCTGACCAGTGCTGCATAGCCATCCTAATGCTCTGAATGAGTTTCTGTTCAACATATTTGATTTTCCTTACTAAAATTGCATCGTAAAACTGATTTATGGTGATAATTGTACAACCCAGTAAATCTACTAAAAGTCAAGAAATTCTACACTGAAAACAAGTGGGTTTATGGTATGTAAACAATACCTCAGTAAAATTGTTTAAATACTTTAAAGTGGGGCCCCAAGTTCAGACAGCTTTTGCAGGCTGTAGATGAAAAGACAAAGAAATGTTTTTAACCAGTCACACTGTCATCTCTCCTAATAGATATTTGATCCAAATTGAGCTACCAATTCACTTTTCTCTTAAAATACGTATAATCTAAAAAAAAATTCTTAACAGTCTCAAAGCGTACATGATCAAAGATAATTTACTAGTAATGACTGCTAAAGAAAGTGCACGTGTCAAAACTGATTTTTATTTTAGGGCTGTACGTGTCAGTCCCAACAGATTTGTTGTTCTGATATGGTGTTCTGAGTGAGAGAGGCACTACATTTGACATATTGCCTGTTACATATTTAGAATATTTAGAAGCCAATGCTAGCTAAGGACAATTAAATCTCATCTGGAATGAAATACTGAAGTATTTAGCAATCCCAAAGGATTTTGATAAAAATTATATCTTGGATTGCTTTTCTAAAAGTAGTGATGCATTGAACAAAGCATTCCTATTCTCTCTCTGTTTTTGTTGTTGTTGTTACCAGGGATCGAACTCAGGACCTCGCACTTGCAAGGCAGGTGGTGGAACCACTGAGCTAAATCTCCAGCACAGCATTCCTAGTCTTTTAGCCTCATCTTTAATATGCACAACACACATTCCAAAGCAGCTGGCCAGAAGTATATGACCATATTCAAAGGTCTACCGTCAGTTTGGATGCTGACCATAAGCAATCCATATGGACATTATAATATCTTGACTAAATGCCAGCTTAGCCTATGATGCCCAAGTCTTCTGGGCTCTTCTCAATAGTAGGCATCAGCTGTTTTTTTATGTTTATGCAGTTTGAAGGTGAATACAATTCTCATTTCCACCAATAATTCCTGGTACCTTTGCTATATGTATGATAGAGGGAAATCATGATAAGCTGACCTTCTTTCCTGGTGTAATCAATACGAGGTGCTGTTCTCACTACCTAGTGGATTGGAGTGACCATATGTGGTCTGCCAGGGAAGGGTTGGAATGTGTAGCTTCCCTCTTACCCCACTGCCCCACAGCACTATCATCTGCCCTAGTCACCCTTTCTAGGTGTACCCTACTTTCTTTTCACCTGGTGTTTCCTCCTCTCTCCTTGATCCTTCCTTTCCATCAGCTGCCAGGTTACTGGCATCTATATGGCTCTTCCTTTCACTTGTCCACTACTCCATAGAGTGGAGTGGTGCTGCTCTGAGTCAGGAGAAAAAAAGAAAAGAAAAGAACCAGGAGGTTCCAACTCTATTTTTTAATACCCAGGTGTGAATCCAATGCCTTCCCTGCTTGGTCTCCAGAAGCTGGCTGCAGTCTCTGCAGCACTCAATCTTCTGTACTCCCTTGTTATAACCTGCAACTTACCAAAAGCAGACCTGGTGCTCCTGTGCCAGCTCCAAATCCAGACCTGGCTTCAGCCAGAATTCCATCCATTCTCACCTGTTCCATCTTCTGTAGAGGATCTGGTCAGAGCACCCTCTAGTGGTCAGGAGGAAACATGGCAACCACTGGCCGTGGCCAGGAGGTCGTCAGACCCTTGCAGAGATTCAGAGTAGAGCAATGCCTAGTGGGACACTCATTCTCCACATACTGTCTCCCTTTTCTTGCCTTAATGTCCTCTCTCAGCTACTGCTTTCCTCTTTTCCTTTTTGGTGGAGACTGCTGGGCAAGGGTAAAGATCCACACACAGAGACACACCTTTCAACCTTTCTCCTTCTGACTCTTTGTAACTCCTTAATGTTGGTGGC